CCCCCCCCAGCTCAGGCTGGGCAAAGCCTAGGTGGCAGCTCAGTGCTGCTGGCTTCCCCCTCCCTCTCTGCTGACAGCCCTGGGGATGGGACTGGGCTGCATCAGCCCAGCCCTGAATGTGTGAAAAATTAACCAGAGGGAACATAAGTTCCCTAGGGTGCTCTAAAACAGAGCACCTTCATCTGACTGACAGTTGATCGAGAGTTAATTTTTCATCTGATCGGACACTTGAAGAGTGCCCTGCAGCCATGCATGTGTGTTATGGCATAGCCATAAAGTGCTTTCAGGGGACTGATCATGTGAAAAATGTAACTTGTATGTATTGCTGCATCTTTACTAGTAAGGTCAGACCGTTTTGCGTAGCCTACACCATACATTTCAGAGATAAACTGCGTGGATATAATTAACCACAAACAAATTGCAACAGAAGGCTCTTAACTAGGGATGTAAATACTGATTAAAGAAATATCCATTTAACCTGTTGTAATTACAATGGTTAAAAAATTAATCAGTATGGCAACTCCTAACCTGGCCCAGATGGGGCTACTTTGGCTCAGCCAGCAGGGTGTCCTGGCCCAGCCCGGCATCAGCAGGGTGCTTCCAGCCTCGAGATGCAGTAGGGATTCAGTGGCTCCCTAGGGTCATCTGTCATGACAACCTGGGCAGGCCCAGCCCAGCATCAGCGGGGTGCTTCCAGCCTCGAGATGCAGTAGGGATTCAGTGGCTCCCTAGGGTCATCTGTCATGACAACCTGGGCAGACAACCTCTGTGAGCCTGGGTCTGGATGCATTGTGGGGCTGAGCCACAGGCCCAGGGGAGTTTTCCTGCACCCAGTTACTTCCACCTTGCTCCTGCCAGGCCCTGCAGCAGCTGTAGCAACAGAAGACACTGTATCTGGCTGGGTGCAAGGATGGGGGCGGGTGTGGTGATGCTATGCTCCAGTCTGTGGCTTGATGGGAAATGGGGAGGAGAGCCCGGGTCTGATGCCTGCCCCTTCCCACCCTGCTGTGGGGAAGGGGCTGCACTGGGAGCCAGGGGCCAAAGCAGGCAACATAGCCCAGAAAGCTGTGGGCAGCAACAGCAAGTGAGGGGCTTTACCAGCCTGCTGCAGCCACCAGCATACAACTTCCTGGGCCAGCTGCAGCAGCACAAAAGGGAGTGGGGACGGAGAGTACCTAATAGCCTGACTAGTACCTAATAGCTAGGGTCTATGGATCCCAGTGCAGCCATCTGCAGCCTCCCCACTGCCTGCCACAAACAGGGTGGGCTCAATGGTGGGCATCAAGTGCCTTCCTGGAGTCTGGGCTGCTCATAGCAGGGAGGCTGCAAGCAGCTGCACCGGGGTCCCCAGAGCCTAGTTATTAGGTACTAGTCATCCCTCCCTCTCCCCACTCCTCTCTCCCTGCTTCCAATTCTTGCTGGGGCACTGCAGCGCTTCCCTCTCCCCACCTGGACTGTGCCCTGGGCCTGGGCTAACGATAACCAGTAAGCAAGAACCAGTGATCACTGGGCTGATCAATTTAACTATTCACTTCCCTACACCTAACATACCAACATTTTCCAGAACAAAGTAATCCAAACTTTTAAATGAGTGAAATTTGGCTCTCTCGATTCATTCTCAAAGCCATCCTACGCCACACAGAACACCACAGAGCTCCAAAACTATTAGGGTTTTCTACACTGTTCATGTCAAGAAAAACATTGAACAGATACACAGGTTAGCATACATGATTCAATAGGTAGAGTTGATTTACTCCATGGAAGATTTCATTTTTGGAAGTCATCTGAAATTTAAAATCCAACCTGCTCAGTGAGTGACCATCCTGAGGTCTGACAATGAGCTCTTAAAAGAAGAGATTTGGAGTCCTTGGGCTGAAATGTTTTCTCTATTAAGTGAGCCCACAGTCGTCTCCCAGCTCTTAGCTTAGCTATTTCCATGTAGAAGTTCATACCAATTCCCCAGAAGAAGGAAAGTCTGCAATAAGAGTACACGAACAGGACTTTAATTGTATAGAATAATATGTGATGAGCTAGTACCTAGAATTCTCCAGTAGATGCGAGAATAATTAATCAAGTAAGTTCCATGGTGTGCCCAAAATATGCCCAAATAACTGGGGTGAAAATGGTCCCTGGTTCATCCATGGACAAATGAGGAACAAGGCCTTTCAACTACATAGCTCCAACGACAGTTCTTTTCAACTGGTAGCCTATGTAATGGTCCCGGCACTTTCTACTAGTCACAATTTCAACTGCTTAGGGGCTGGGCTGGGAAACCACGAATGAGCTCTCCATGCTTCTATAGTTTTCTCTACTGTAGAATCAGATGAGTTTGGGGAAAAAACCCCATGAGATCGTTCTCTGCCTCAGTTTCCCTATATATAAACAGACAAACTACCGACCAGGCAGGTGAGCTGAGGGATTTAACTAGCATAAGAATTTCCTAATCAAATTAATGAGGCCTTTAAAAACAAACCAATTTCTAGAAAAAGGGACAAGTACAGACCAGATGTGAAGAATAAGTTACTCTCTCAAACTCTAACTGCCAGCAGGACAGTCCATGGAAATTTAAACATTTTTATGTTTGTGAGTGAACCCAAGTCTATTTTTTTTCCTGGGACATCAACATGGCAACAATAGTACAAGTGAAAAATCCACTACCTATATTTATAGAATACAAGGACTATGTGAAATATTATCTTCTGGAAGGCTTAGTATATTTCCTTGAATATAAGACAGCTCCACAATAATTAGATTCTGTATATGGAAAATGTATTAATTTGTTATAATTTTCCAGTTACACAATCTAAATATTGGAGGTTTGCCTTGAATTTGTCCCTTTCCTACTGCCATAGCAGAGAAAGTAAATTGGGGGAGGCCCTCAAATAGCCCCTTTGCCCTCTTCCCTGCCCCTCCAATTTTTTTCCCCTGCAGCCCCTTCTCCCCTCCTGTCAGATCCTGCTCTCCCTGAGCACATGGCAATGAGGGGCAAAACTGAAAACACTGACCTTGAAATAAACATACCTGCAATAACATGAATACAGGCAAATTATTGCAGGTACCCATAAACTTAGCTCATCCACAATTTATGCATTTTACTTTTTTGAAAATGCTGCAAGTTTTAGCACAGAAACTCCAAAAACACACTTGTAAGTAAAACTTGTGTACCTACTTAGATACAATACAGATGATGCATGATATTATTTCAGAGCCAAATATCTCATGATCTATCATATTGTTCAAGTTTCATGAGTTATCATATATTGCCAGACCCCAGCAGAGTCATTAGCATTTCAAGCCATGATGACCCCACAGCTCAGAACTGCTCAGTATGTGTGTGCACTCCAGATACCACCCAACAAAGGATCCATGTGCTAATTAGTCCCCCAACTCATGACTGGAACTAGATTTCCTTGTCACAAGTCCTGCAAATCTCAAAAAAATGTATATGCAGATGAAGTGTGGGACAGCCTGGTCCAGCTCCATGTCATGAAGAATGGGGCCACTAATAATATGTACCATGCTGAGAAGGGACAACCAAGGGATTCTGGGCGAACTATTTGGAGCTCTGTTTGGTCATGTTTCCCAGACACTAAAGGTTGATGAAAAGCAGGAATCATTGGAAACAAGAAAGAAAAGTGCAACTCAGCTGTGGGTGTGAAGAGGAAGTTGAAATGTATTTGATGCAATGAACTTGCTGTGACTAAAAAAAAAATGGTGTTGAGGGGGACTGAACACAATGGGTATACCCTATAAAAAAAATCAGTACTTTTCCTCTAAAAAAAAATGTGTTTTATAGCAATACTCTCTGTTGGTTGCATTTAATGAACTTCCTAGTTGATTTCTATTACTAAATACATGCTGCTTTTGGCAGTAGTTTAATGATAGACAATGTATTTACTGGGGGAAAAAAGCCTGTCCTGTTTTCAAGTAAATACGGTATGTCATCTCATTGTTAACATTTGGTATTAATAGTCCTATTAAAAATTTAGAGTTCTATTTTTTCCCCTCAATGAGAATCTATGTCCTGTTAGAATTCATAGAAGTTACAAGGGCAACTGAAATATGCTGCTGCTTGACCTTTTGAGTTTTTATTCCTTGACAGAAATATACATTATGCTGGTTGATCTACTTTAATTTTCACCATCTGTAATTTCTATGCTTCCACACAAGTGAGGCAAAGATTAGTAGAGGCAAGATACATGAAGTACAAATTTTTACTAGTGAAAAAGTTGTTAATTAAGTTGTTCCAATCAGTGGTTACCAAGGAATGTGGAGCACGTGTATAAATGCCCTAAGCATCCATTGTACCACTCCCTTTACTTTGCAGTTATACAACAGGAAGTCAACACACGATAAGTATATAAGCTTTGTACCTTTATTCAGTTTCCAAAAGTAAGCTATTTTAAAGATTATTTATACTTTACTTAAAAGCTTGTTTTAATTACCTTGGTGCAAATTCATCAATAGTGAGGCCAGCCCGTAGCCCAGTTCTGCAGTACTCCAAACCATCAGCTATAGTATAAGCCAGTTCCAAAATGGCATCAGCACCTGCCTCCTGCATATGGTACCCACTGATAGAAATGGAATTGAATTTTGGCATATGCTGTACAAATAAAAAAGCAACAGTTACAGTTTCATTAGCTCCCCCTTGCTCTGCATTTCAAAAGTAAAATGACTGTCCTTGCGTTCAAGATTCTACACAACTGGCCCTAACCTTCACCACTACCCAATGTTTCCAACTAGCAGAATATCCTATTCTGTGCTGGCCTCTATGTTTACAGTAGCATCCCTATGCATGAAGTTTTCTCCTTTAATCATTCAAGTCCTTCCCAAATCTCCAATTTTCTTTGTTATCCATAAATAGCATATATAACGTTCGCATAGTAATAGAGATGTACATATCCCATTGAAAAATAATTCCACAATCTTATTACTGTAACCCTTGTCCAATCCCACCCCATTGCCAATCCTCTCACTGCTTGTTAATAGCTCTTGTGGTGTCTTTGTTCTGAAAAGTGTTTTGTGCACTGCACAAACAGTTCATTATTGTAACAGTAGTAGAAGTGAGTGAATTACAATAAAATGATACCTTTGATGTGTACTGAAAGATGTCTGCAATAATCCTCATTGATGGTTCTGGAGGGAAAATATAAGTGTTCCGCACCATGAACTCCTTCAGTATGTCATTCTGGATTGTCCCTGTCAGCTTGGCTTGAGGCACTCCTTGCTCTTCCCCAGTTACAACAAACATTGCCAGGATAGGAATTACTGCCCCATTCATTGTCATAGAAACAGACATTTTCTCTAAAGGAATTCCATCAAAAAGGATCTTGGTGTCCTCCACTGTATCAATGGCAACTCCAGCCATTCCAACATCACCGCGGACTCGAGGATTGTCTGAGTCGTAGCCACGGTGGGTTGCCAGATCAAAAGCAACTGACAATCCCTGCTGGCCAGCTGGGTCCCCCATAAAAGAAAGATGAATTACAACAGTTAAAACAGGCATGCTTTAGGAACTGAGTCTAATTTAGTTTTCATAGTCAGGGTCTGGCATGATCCAATTTGTAGTGTCACACTGTGTCCCCTCCCTAGACTTCTTTGGAGCATAATGTTCTGAATTTGAACGGATGCAGTACAGTGTCTGTTGTTGGAAAGAATGAAAAAAACCCCAACACTTTACGAGTCAAATGCTGATAACCTCATTCAGAGGCATGAAAGGTCTTGTATACAGTGGAGCTGCCATGACTCTAGTTGGCAGCACAAACAGGCTGCATGGTGAAGTGTCATTTGGGAGATTTAATAGCTTTACAAAGGCAATGCTCTGGAGCAGCCAGAAGACGCACCATAATTTAAATCCAAAATGTTAAGCTCTCCACATTCCAGCCAGTCCCACAATTCCTGGGCACAACAGCAGGTGGTAATTTAAAGTACACTTTTGTTTACTTCACAGGTGATCATCAGGGGTCCTGGCTTTCTGTGTTTAAAAACTGTAAATGTTGTGATTAAAGATTGCCAAATTCTCCAGTTAAAAACCCCAAAATTTGCATTTTTCCGCAATGAAAATGAAACACCACTATATATATAGATGCCAATTTAACACAATGGTTTATTGATATATTTATCATTTTAAAGCGATTTGGAAGCCTACCAATGCCCCAATCATTATAAAAAAAATCTAAATACCTATATATTTTTTTTTTACCATGGAAAATCAGAGCCCCCCCTTCACTCATCAGGATGTGGGTCCAGCTGTGACTGTCCCTCTACTGCTTTGTGGCGCTGAACGACCATGATGCTGGTGCCCTGCCTATGCTGTTGCCCCTTACTCCCAACCCACAGTCGCTCACCCCACTGGTGCCCTTCATTCCTGCTCTGCAGCCTCCTATTCTACCGGTGCCCATTACTCCCGACCTGTAGCCCCTGTCCGTGATAGTGCCCCTCATTCCTGACCCACAGTCCCCTGTTCTACTTATTGCCCCTCACTCCCAAACGGCGGCCCTTAGCTATCCCCACCCTGCTGGAGGGGGGCCCTCAGCTTCCTTTGCCCTGCTCAGCCCTGTGCAGACTCACAGGATGGTGGTGTGCAAGGACACGGGGGAGATGGTCTCCAGCATGAGGTGCATGCAATGCACTTTATGCAGAACCACCGGCAGCGGCTGGGGCACCACACACTGCACCACACTGCCTCTGGGTGGGCCTTGCTGGCAACAGCATGGATCTGGGCTCACCAGCAGCACTGAGTGCTGCTTCAGACCCCTTGCCCCGCTGCTTGGACACCTCCCCCACCACACACATTCCCTCCACATACTCCTACCACCTACTCACACATGCCCCTTGAAAGCCCCCAGACAGTCTCCAAGTCCTGGCCCTGCAACCACCCCCATCCCCCACACAGACTTACCTGTATCCAGGTGCCAGAGGTGTTTCCACCACCCTGCCTGGCTGTACGTTGGCCATGCGCATGTGCATGCCTCCAACCATCCTCCTTTCACTCCCCTCAGCCCTAAGCAGCTCTTTTGCAGGCTGGAAGGCTGCCAGCCTGCAAGGGGAAACCCACAGTTTCTTGCATTTTTCTCCTTTAAAAGGAGAAAACTTGCATTTTTCCACAGTAAATGAAAAACCCAGATCCCTGGAGATCATGCTGACAGGATCATCCTAAAGTTTTGGGACTGTGTAGAGAGAACAAGTGCTCTTTCAGAATCCAGTGCCATTAAACAAAAGTTTTCCCTGAGTGTTCCCAAGTGGTCTACAATTTATCAGGCAAGATTCAGGATCTGTTAGACAGTTCCACAGTAACATACCTATTCAGACGTGAGTTGACAGTCACATTATAAACCAGTGCCAGAGCCAAAAAGAGGCAAGGGAACCCATGACTGCAAATTCATCCCAACCACTAGACCAGAAAACTACGTAAGACTTGTAAACAAATAGATTTTTTTTGCTCCATGGTGCAGCCTTGTTAGGCACAGAAAATTCATGCAAAAAAATCTAAGGAATAATTTGTTTGTAAATCTTAAAAGATTAAATGTTTCCAGCACTAAATATATACAAGCCTAAACACTGTTAACAATGTAATCCCAATCAGTTTTACATTAACTAACACTGAAAAGCCAAGAGAAAAAAAAAATATCACAAAAATGGGGGGAGGGGGTGGAAGGGAGCAAACGTCTTATAATAATCAGGTACAAACAGGATCTGTATTTTAAGACACAAAGGAGGCAGTTTCAGATGACTAATTTGAAAGATATCTTTGGGTTTTTTGACTAATAAAAAATCATTACTCACTTTCCCTCACAAAAGTGATGGGTTGAATAGCTGGTGAGAGACAACAGCTATTGTATTCCACCCAAAAGTGGAGGCATGTGTGTAGACACTGAGTAACATCCAATATCCAGAATGTTATGATATTATATCATTTAAATACCATATTTTCTTGCATACAACTTCCTCCTCCCACACCCAATGAAACACACCTTCTTTTTAGAAAGCAGAACACAGGGGGGGAAAAAGGTCATGTCCAACTGTGTGACAGCATAAATCCTCCTGGGAATACAGTGTGTCCAGGAAGTGTGGAACCAAGAAGTTCTGGTGCCAGCTGTCTTACCTAGATCGTTTCCTGGTATGTCACACTTCCTCAACCTTAGGTCAGGGGTCGGCAAACTTTTCAGGTCGCAGGCTGGACTGACCCAGTTTGGGTCAGAGAGGGGCTGGTGAAAAGCAGGTGGGTGCTAGGATCCAGATGCTGCCACCACTTCCCCTGTACAGCTGCTGGGCAAAGTGGCCCTCCACATGCCCTCCCGCCTGACCTGAACCGGATCAGTACAGCTACAGAAGTCCCTCATCTGTAGGTCAGATTTGGCCATACGTTGCCGACCCCTGTTCCAGGAGCCAGATCTGGTCATAGGTTGCCAACCCCTGTTCTACGTCCAGAAGGAGCTACTCTGTCTCACATGCCTAGGCCCCAGACCCTTGCAAGGGCAGTAGCAATACTGTGAGTTCCTTGCTATAAGCAGTTCTTTAATATGTTCCTGGAAATAAAGTGCTGTTTCCACATCACAAGCCTCAACAAGATACCACCAGCAGCTTACTTGTGGCTTCTGGCACAAGTTATAGTGCTTAGCCAATAGCCATGGCTGCGAGAGGGTTAACACAGTAAATGGTCAGTACAGCGTCTCCAGGATTCCTTCTTTTCCAGGGCCAGAGCCTCCACCACTGCCTCATGCTCAAATCCAAGACTAGGGGCGTTTCTCCTCTTTATTAAATGGAGAAAAAAATTCTGGTCTTGGAATTCTGTAAATTCAGTCACTGAAAATGTCACTTCTAGGAAACTGGCCTACCTAGTAACACACAGTGGGCACATCTACATGTGCCCCTACAACGCCATTTTTACTGTGCCATCATTTAGTAGTTCCTTTTGGAAGTACCAAATGACGGTGCAGTAACAGCTGTTACTATGTCATACTAGCAGCTCTCGGTCATTTTTAGCCTCTACATTGCTGTAGCGATGCACTGAAGCAATGGAGCATGTTGCTAGAGCGTCATGGTTTGTACCAGCCGATGCTATGGCACTGCAGTGCATTGCTACGGCAATGCAGTGTCACATATAGACGCTCCCGGTATGTTTGAAATATACATTATGATGTTTGAACTTAAAAGTGCCAGGATGCACTAATGTGAAAGAGCTTTAGTGAAACTCACAAAACTTAACCGATTTTATGCCACAAATCTGTCCACCGTCATGGTCACAACACTTGTTCCAGGATCTTGGCAGTCTCCTTGCTAACTTAAGCTTGGCACACAGCTAGATTAATACCTTTACATTGGCAGGAGCTAAAAGTTAATCATTACATTCACAACATAATTTTTCTGTGTCTCAGTAGCCAAATGAAACAAAGGTTTCTAGGTGTTATTAAAATAGTGGTACAACAAAAGTTGTCAGAATTCAGTCCATATGAGGCTAAATAATCATACTGGTTTCCTGTGCAATGACATTTTACAGGCCATCTTTTTCTCCTCTCTAACTTGGGTAGGTTAAACTTTACCCTTGATGTTGTCCTTGTAGAACTTGTTGCTCTCCTCTACCGTACTGAAGCCAGCGTATTGGCGGATGGTCCATGGTCTGTGTGTATACATTGTGGGGTACGGCCCCCGTGTGAAAGGCATCACACCTGGCAGCTCCTCAGGAAAGTCATTTGTGTCTCTGCTGGAGTACAGTGGCTTGATAGAGATCCCTTCTGGAGTATGCCACATCAAATCCTCAGCGTTTTTCCCTTTCAGCTGCTTTTTAGCTATAGCGGCCCACTCTGGGTGCAGGCAGCGGCTCATGAGTCGGAAAGCTCCCAGCCCCGCCATCTGCATGCAGTGGCGGGGCCAGAAGCGCAAGGGCCAATCTCTGACTCTCCACATGTCCGGTTCTGTGGGTGACCAATATCAGATGAGCTGAGAAAATCAGAAAGACCAGTTAAAAAAAAAAAAGGGTAAATACTTTCCATTGCAAACATATCAAATAGAGAAACGGAGCACCAAATGGCTTGTCTCGAGTCAGAAAGCAGGTCACTGACAAGGAACCAGAAAAGAAGCCAAAACCTGCTTTAACCACTTACGGCGCTGACAGACTGGAAAAACAAAACAAAACAGAACAAAAAAAAAGCGCTTTATCAGAAGCAGCAGCGCGTTAATTCAGCCTGGCTCTGCAACATCAGCATAGATCATGTGCTTCAGCAGGGCTTTTTGGCGTTTTTAACTAAAGCTGATTCAATCAGCTATTGTATAAATGCCGAAAAAGCCCCATTAAAGTGCCTGATCTATACAGATGTTGGGTGAACTGGGTCCAACTAACATGATGCCTCTTTTGGGCATGTGCTGGACTTGGTATGGGGGCACATGGAGTTTAAAGTGCCATTTTTGGGGGGGGGTTTTAACGTCTGTAAGCTGCCTTAATGACTTCATTCCTCACAACAACACACCTCAATACCTAACCCAGATGCAACTGTTGCAATAACCTGAAGAGAAATGGATTTTCCTCTGTTTGGGGCCAGCATAATCAAAAGAGCAAAAACTCTTCTTCTCCCCATACCCCGGTAATGCATAATCCTTTAGTGTTGCTCATCTCAGTCCCTATCATGAACATTACACCAGTCACAGGATCGTAGGAAAATGGGGCTGGAAGGGACCTTACAAGGTCATCAAGTCCAGCACCCTGCTCAAGGCAGGACTATGCCTAACTATACCATCCCAGCCAGGTATTTGCCTAACCTGCTTTTGACATTTTCTACAGATAGAAATTGCAGATTCCCTCCTCCAATGCCTGACTGCTCTCCTCCCGAAAAGGTGGAGACGAGAAGGGCCTGCCACTCACGCACCAAACCCAACACCAAAAAGAATCTCATTTAAATTTTTAACAGGCAGTAGGGAACCAGAAAGCCAGCCAGAAAATGTACAATGTGTATCCGGGCACCACTTAGGGTAGGGACCGCATCTCAGTCTGTAAGTCTCAGTCCTTTCAGACTCAAGGGCCAGGGACAGACATTATGCATAAACCAGTTTAAAGTGATCAGAAGCGGGTATAAACCCGTCACAGAACAGACGTTCGGCGCAGGTAAATCTTCAAAATGGCTGAAACCGGTTTGAGATCAACCTGGTTAAACGCAGTTTCAGACTTAACTTTTCTGGCTCGATGCAACGTCTGTCCCTGAAGGGCAGGATTCCCGCCAGCGCCCAGCAGAGCCCCGGTGTCTCGGGCACCCCCATTGGCTAAGCAAATTGTTCTCGAACCCCCCCCCCGCCTCAGCGGGGCAGCCAATAGGCAGCGAGGACGCTCCCGCCCGTTGTTCCGGCGGGGGACACCAAGCTGAGGGGACTCGTACCTGCAACGTCCCGGCCCCGGCTGCAGACGCCATTAGCAGCCCCGCGCATGCGCGGCGACAGTTGCAGGCGGAGACGCACCCGGAAGGCCGCGCATGCGCGGAGCAGCGCGGGAAAACCGTCCTCACAACGATTCGTGCTCCCAGCGGGAGGTGGTGGGTGTGCGGGGAGCCTGGCGGTGAGTCCCCGGGATGGCGGGGGGTGGGATCGAGGGGCAGCGACAGGTGTCTGCCAGTGAACGGTGGAGGGTAGGAGACCTGGAGGGGCGAAGACTACAGCTCCCAGCATACTATGCACCGGCACCCTCCTTTGCCGCGGGGCGCATGCGCGGCGCGATGCCTGCCGGGAGTTGGAGTCTTTCCGCTGCCGTGACGTCACCGCCCCATGTGACTTACAGGGCTTTGCGTGCACTGTACGCTCTCCAGTCCCATGCAAATCTTCCCCCCCTCGCCTCCCCCAAATCAGTATGTAGCTGCACAGCTAATGTCCTGCCTGAAATACAAGCCCACGGCTTTGATGGCTGCTTCGTCCTGCAGCACCCCGGTTTTGCTTTTCGGGTCTGTTTGACGTGCGAGTTGTAGCCGTCAGCCCTCAAAAGAACATGCTGGACTCCCCCGCAGTTATTTAAGGAGCTGGCTAATTGTGGAGCAGCGAAGGTGAAAACGGGGGTGGCGGTGCGGGGCAAAGGTGACAAGCATGTGCTCCAGGTGAGGACACCGAGCAGAGCACAGTGGCCAATGTCAGCTGGCTCTTGCACGAGTCCAGGCTAATGGACACTGCCTAGTGAAACCCAGTCCAGAGACATAGGGTTAACATGGGCTTAATGTCACAGGGCAACGGTTGGTGCCATCCTCCCCCAGGCCTGTTAGAGGGGGCTGTTGACTATGCCCCAACTGAATTTTGGGAATAACATAAAACAAAATGGGGATAGGAGTGTAGGTCAAAGGTTTAAAATGAGTTTACCAAGCAGGGACACCAAGCACAATACAGCGGACAGTGCTTGTCAGATAGATGCCTAGCTTAGTTAGGGCCAAGAGGAGGCTGACCGGGAGGTCCTAGGACTCAGCGGGGCTGCGGATGGGGAGTGCGTACACAAAAAGGTGCAGGAAGTAGTGCAGCCAGCACCAAAGCAGGAGATTTGTGAGGAGGTGGTGAAGGGGTTGCATCCTGGTACAATCAAGATAGGCACATGCCAGGGTCTCTCTTTGTTCACAGAAGGATCCACATATAAAGTCCATTGCCTTAATGTCGTCTTCTTTGCTCCAAAGGTGTTAATAATACTCTCTCCTTTTCAATGGTCTTGAGGTTCCTCCAATT